AATTGCAAGTTTATAAGGGGTATGTTTATGATCAACACTTGGCCTTAAACGTATGAGTGTTGCAGCATGTAAAAGTGCATGACCCCGAACAGTAAATGGTAGTTTAGTTCTCATTATTAATGTTCTAGCAATATATTGAAGACGTTTAATTAATGAGTCAACTAAACCATTTTGTGTATGCACAAGAGGAACAGGATGTTCAACAACAATTCCGATTGACATGCAATAATTATTAAATGATTCAGATGTAAATTCACCAGCTTTGTCAAGTCTGATTTTCTTTATGGTATAATCAGAGAGTTGAGCTCTTAGCTTAATCATTTGTGCAAGAAATTTTGCAAAAGCCATATCACGACTTGATAAAAAACATACATATGACCATCTACTAGATGCATCAATTAATACCATGAAGTACCTGAATGATCCTGACGGTGGATGAATAGGTCCATATATATCACCTTGAATTCTTTCAAGAAATGTAGGTGATTCTGTCTGAATTTTTCCTGGTGAATGATTTGTTATTAGTTTGCTAAGAGAGCAAGCTTCACATGGTCTATCTTTTTTTGTAAGTTTTAAACTTTTCAATGGATGACCATGTGTACTTTCAACTATTTTACGTATCATTGTTGTACTAGGGTGACCTAAACAATCATGCCATAAATTCACAATTTCGGGATCTTCTTTTACTACTAAATTGCATTCAATTTCATGTATATATGTATAATGTAATCCAGAAGGCAATTTTGGTAGTTTTTATGAAGCTTTCTTCTTTCCCAAAACATTAGCAGTAATATTAATGTAATTCATGATACCTTCAGTTGCAGTTTCGGTATCATATCCTTGAAGATATATGTCATTAAAACTCAACAAACTTATTTTTGATTTTGGATAGTATAAAGCATTATTAATGACAAACTTTGTCCCATTTGATAATATGAACATATCATTACATGTTCCTTCTATCAAATCTGCAGGACCTGAGATTGTATTTATTACACCTTTAGTAGGATTTATTTTAGTAAAATATTTCTTACTTTTGAGGATTGTATGTGTAGTTCCACTGTCCGGAATGAAAATGTCTTTGACATGTTTCATGTCTAACCCTTTTGAAATAGAAATAAGATTAAATAGAGAGTAAATCAACAACATATTTACTATTATTATATTATGCAAACATAAGATACACATACAAATTCTTAAGACGATACGTAGTTCAAATGTAAAATTAATTCAAGCACATTACTCATTATTCAAATATTTATTTAATTCATTGGTCCTTCAACGAAATCAGCAGTCTCAAAATAGGTATTATCATCTCTGGGTTCAATTTCATTAAAATTCACTTCTTTCCCCTTTTCCTCTACAAATGTCATTTGTCTTTTACACAAATGTTCTGGTATTATACACACCGTAGACCAATGGCCTTTCTTTCCACATCTGTAGCATACATCTTAACAATTTCTCGAGGTACCTTTTTGGATATACCAACCATTTCCTTGGCGATTCCAATTATTTTAGTCATATCTGGGAGATCTATAATTATTCATATGACCTCGTCCACGTCCTCTACCACGAAAATAGTTTCGACCGTGGAAAAGGTTTTGGCCATAGTATCTTCCTTGATTGTGACCATCAAAACGAGCACGACCTTTATTACCATCAAAACGAACATGTCCACCATGTATCTTAATATGATTAAAGCCACCACACCCACGATTAAAGGTTGTGGCATTTATTTCAGGATATGCAATTGTTCTTGTGGGTCGTTTCTGGTGGTTTTTTATAAGGAGGTCGTTATTTTGTTCTCCCACTAGAAAGACTGCAACTAAATCATAATACTCAGCAAATTTCCTCATTCTATATTGTTGTTGCAATAATACCTGGGATGCATGGAAAGTTGAAATTTTTTTTCCAAATTTTCTTTTTCAATTATAATTTTTCCATAAAACTCTAGTTGTGCTATAATCGGGTGCATGGTAGAGTTATATGCAACAACACTTTTGTAATCTTGGGACCTCAACTTATTCCACTGATCCATTAATGAGGGTAATATGACTTTCTTCTGATGTCCAAATCTTGCTTTAATTTTGTCCCGCAAAATCTTGGGATCTTTAGCATTTGAATATTCGGTTTGCAATCCATCATCAAGATGGTGTTTGATTATTCAGTTCACTTTTGACTTTCTTTTTTCCATTTCATCTAGGTCGTCTGTCAATTTTCCAGAATTGTCTCCTTCAAGTATTTTGTTAAGTCCCTCACATGTAAGGTATTCAATTAAATTGTTCCAGGTTATAAAGTTGTCTCCAATTATGCTTAGAATTTTGAATTGATGCTTAAGATTTGACTTGATTATATCTATAATTTAGATGAACATAAACAACATTAAATACATAAACTAAAAAAAAAAGAAAAACAACTTATATAATTACAAAATTCGTTACTACATATTATTCAAAAACCTCTACTAATAAACCAAGCTAAGACTAGTAATGGTAAGACGATAATTATTATCAAAGCTACAAAATTATGACCTAATTCTTCACGTTTGATAACACTGATAATAAACAAAATAATTACACGTAGAGTGATGAACAACAGAAGAATTTTGTCCATTTGAAAAATATGAGTAGAAGTTTTAAGAATGATGTGAAAATTATGGAAGAAGTTGAAATATTTATAGAGGTAAATTTTTTGAAAAAAATAGTCGTTATATTATTGGTGGGGAAAGGGAAAAGGTTAAGTGTAAAAAAAATATTATCTAGCCAAAATTTAAGTGTGTAAAAGAAAAAATAATTATATGGTTGTTATAAGTGTTAGAGATAATTATCAGATTACATATAAGACAAAATAACACATATGATAAGTATTAGAATATACATATGAGGTTTTAGACATCTGTTAAATATAAAAGCTAGTAACAACATGGGGTTTTAAACCTCCACTAAATATAAAATTTAGTAACAACATATGGTTTTAAACCTCCACTAAATATAAAATTTAGTAACATCGTATGAGATTTTAAACCTCCATACAAAATATATAATAAGAATAGCTTTACTTATTATAGAGCACTTGACGAATTTCCAGTTTTCTATAACAAGAATTAAAGTAATAATAACAATAATAGTCACTCTAGTTATAAATACTTGATTGATTGTTAGTTTTCTATAACCGGCACTACAACATTTGTTGTCTCTGGCAACACTTTTTTAGGTAACATGTAGAAATTGTTGCCTTAAATTCATATAGGCAACGATTTACGATTGTTGTCAAAAATATGTTTGCAACCCTTGATAATCGTCGCCTAAAATACTTTTGGGGACGTTTATGGAGCGATACTCTTTTATTTTTTTGCCAACGGTTGTTAATTGTGCCCTTAACTGCTTTTCGGGACGATTTTAGAGCGTTAAAATATTATTTCTTTAGCAATGTTTGACAATTGTCCCCTAAAATATTTTTTGGGACATTTTTAGATTGTTACATTAGTTCTAATAAAAGGCTACATTTCTGAAATGTTGTATAAATTTTTTTAGAATTATCAACTTTTTGGTGGCAATCTTCGCTCCAAAACTTATACACTAAAAAACAAATATTTTTCTCTAAACATTATTAATATATATATAAAAAAATATTTTTCTAACACAGGAATTTAAAAATAAAAATTTCAATTAAACAGAAAATAAAAAATTATATATATATATATATATATATATATATATATATATATATATATATATATATATATATATATATATATATATATATATATATATATATATATATATATATATATATATATATATATATATATTAGTCTAAAACTTATATATATTTCAATTAAACAGGAATTTTTCTATTTTTAATAGAATCTTTTTTCTTTGTTATCACACAACAAGAACCACAACTGAGTAACCCACACCAATCTCCCTCTTCTCTCTTCCTAACACCCAATCAACAAAAACAGTAACCACCCCTCTTCTTAATCATTTCTCTTCTTCTACACAACAAACAATAACAACACATCATACCATCACTCCCCATCAAAACCCAACACGAATCAACATACTCCCTTTCGTTTCCCCTTCTACTCACAGCGTCGTTACCCTTCACACATCATTGTAACCCATTTTCTTCTATCTTCCGCTCACGAATCCCTCCACCCTCGATTTCCACCCTTACGAACAATTGCAACAAACAATAATCTACCATCGTTAAGGAACCGGTTGGGATTGTATATTCAGAGAACTCTTCAAACAGTAATAATTTGCTTCGAGGTATGTTCTCGGTTCTTCCTTTGGTTTGATTATTTTTGTTAGAAAGAGTAAAGAAACAATAAACGGAAATAATGAACAACCGATGAGCCATACTCGATAATTTTCCCCTACCATTTTCTTTCGGGGTTCTGTTTGTTGCTTTTTAATTACTGTCTATTCTAATTATTTGGTTGACCTAGATTTGTACTTTGTGAAAACAAGGGAACGTGTAGTATCCAGGGTATTGTCAGCTACGAATGAGGAAGGTCGAGTTAAAGGGGAGAACTCCATCGAACATGTCACATATGAGGAAGTTTTCTATATGGAGGAAGGTGAATCTTCTGCGTCTTGTCTACTTGGAAGTTGCAATGATCTATGAATTATCGCTGCAGCTTCTCTTTCATTTACTTTGTGGTGATAGATGGTTAACCTGGACAGTCTTTCTTATTTCTGCCTTGTACTTATTAAATGTTTTTAGATTATTTTGCATGCTGAGGCATTTCCCAATTGAATCTAAAGGGAGAAGAAAGAAACTTCATTAGGTATGAGCTCTTTCTTCTCAGTGTGTCTATTTGATAGAAAGGGGATTAATTTCTTGCATTTGTAGTAAGTCCAAAATCACTTCCAGTTAACTCAAAATGAAAGATATCTACTTAACTGTCTGTTGGGACCGTGAACGAGAAGACCACTATCTAAATTCTCCAATCCCATAACATGTTTCTCTCTTGCCTTTGTTCATCGTCATACTTATAGGATAAACCATGTGAACCCTTTACCTCCGTTACCCGTTTCTTTATCTCTTGAAGCAATATAGTCAACATCTCTTGAAAGTGCATTGATGTATTTCAAACGAGTTATCAAAACACCACAAGGTAATGGACATCCTAAAAACTTATGGCCTGAAATAGTTACACTGCCAATAGGTTTCTTGAAGCTAATCCTTAGAGCCTAACAAAACACAAAAACAATGTCTTAGAAGAAGTCATAATTAGGAAACATGAGAATATTTATATGTTTCGATTGAAGAAATGATGTTACTCACTTGTTTCATAAAAGGCAACATTATTCCACAAAGAGCTCCATCACAGTGAATGTAGAATTGATCATTAGTAAATCCACATTTATCAAGTGTTTTAATTACAAGATCAATATCATCAATACCTCCTTTCAAAGTTGTCCGTACAACAAAGTAATTATTTAAGTTTTTTTATACAATTTGTAAAACCACTTATTGTATTGTTTGAAATTGCTAAAAAAAATTATTCTTTCCAGTATGGTGTGAAAGTGAATTCATGTCCATGTTTTAGGTTTTGTCTTCTCTGTTAGACCCGAAAGAGGAGTGTGCTGGATGATCAACTTTCTTCTTTTTGTTATTGCAGGTGATTAGATCTTCCTCCCTCCAAGTTGCTGTATCTGAAAGTCTGTTATGCTTGGGACTTTAGTATAGATTGGATTGTTGATTGGTTAGTTTGATTTTCCTTTTGTAATTCGTTATGGCGTTTGATTGGTTTTATGTTTTCCTTTTATTCGATGCTATTAAAAATATATATAATTTTAAAAGACAGCTTAATTTAGACAAAAGGAGAGTACCTATGTTTAGATTGATGATGGCTGGTTTGTCCTTGTTGGCAAGTAGAGAAGTCTCTAGTTGAGCACAATCAATTTCACCAGAGATCAAAGAGGCAACCTTCACACATTGCATTCTATACATTCTTGCTATTTTGAATATTAAATAATGTGAATCTTCTGAGGTATATAGAATTCCATCTGGAAGTTGCTCTCTCCTGTATTCAAATATATAAATCATTACCTACTAAAATAATTTTCCACTTTGTTTAGCAAGTTGTAGATAGAAAAACTGACCCTACTAAAATTCCATGAAGATTGCCTTCGGTTCTCCCAGTAGTGACGTATCCCCAGTACTCATTCTTCTCTATTTCCCATAGTTTAGCAAACCAACCAAGTACACTGACTTCAAATTTCATTGAATTTAGAGAGAAACTACTTCCAAGAAATGGATCTCCAGCATTGTTCAAGTGAAATTGAAGCAACGGTGCTAATTCCTCATAGTTGAAATCTTGATTAGTAGGGTACCGTTCAATACAATATAATTACGTACAAGTTAGATATACATTTTGTTTTAATATTAAACTGCTAAACTCTAAAGATAGAAAAATGAAGCACGTACCTAAGTTACGCAAGCTATAGTTGGTTAGAGTTTGTGCATAGCGAGTAATGAGTGCACCCAAATGAGTATCGGTTTCACCAATGCACTGAGTGATAGCAAATCTATCATTGTTGTTTTCATCAACATTTTCATGTCTCTCTTCTTCTCTTGAGAGCTTATTAGCATCGCGAATAAAAGCCACTGTCCCTGCCATGTTGTTTCCTTCTACACTCTCCATATTTGCCTGTAATAATACGTGTGGCACCAATGTGTATATATAGAAAATAAAATAAAGATATGTTTAGACTTTTAATTTCTTGCATTTGTAGTAAGTCCAAAATCACTTCCAGTTAACTCAAAATGAAAGATAGCTACTTAACTGTCTGTTGGGACCGTGAACGAGAAGACCACTATCTAAATTCTCCAATCCCATAACATGTTTCTCTCTTGCCTTTGTTCATCGTCATACTTATAGGATAAACCATGTGAACCCTTTACCTCCGTTACCCGTTTCATTATCTCATGTCTAGTTTTTCCTCTGTGAAATTCAAAATATGACTCACTGCTGAATCTTCAAGCAAATGATGGGCAGGAATGAGTCATGCATTTGTGTAATCAACTTTGTCTAGCCTGCCCGTTTTCTGATTAGCAACTCTATATTAAATGTTGTAGTTTGGGTCTATAACCCCTTTCTACTTTTTGATCTTCTGTTCTGTTACAAACATATAACAAAATGCATTGTCATTTCAATATTACTTGTATTTACGGAACACGGGATGTGTATTATAGGTCGGATCTGTTACAGCCATCTGTTTCACCTGTTTTCTAATAAGATGTGTTATGGTAATTTCTTTGCCTTTGTTATGATAGCTATCTTTTTAGTGTTTCATTAAACATTTTTTTAAGCTTGTATGCGTATGTCATTGAATATAGATAATTGTTTTAGTTATTTTAATCGAGAAGCTTTGATGAGTTAGAAACCACAAGCAAATACAGTATTATTTTAATCATCTAATGCTTCTGATAAAGCTTTGATAATACTTTGTTCATTAAGGGTACAAAAGTTTTCTCAGGTTTCTGATCATGCTAGGAAAGTTATGCATGTTTATTTATACGAGTAGGCTGTGCATCATTTATCAAATACAGTATTTAGTATACTTTCTTTGATTGGTTTTCCTATTATGAGTTTAAAATCTGGCAGTGTAAATAAATACAACACATGCATGCTTCAATCTTTCCTTCCATCTCCTTCTTTGTTTTGACTTTGATAAATATGTATTTTATATTGTCTCAAGTTAGAATTTGAGTTTGAAACAATAAAAAAGAATAGAAGTTATATCTAGCTATCAATTAATAAATTTTATATTTTCTTTTATTGGAACTCTATCTATGGTCACGGTTTTAGGACCGTACATGTATTAACTTTAATCATTTCCTTCCATACCTGGCTAGCTCCGTTAATTTGAAAAAAAAAACAAATGAGTGTTGCAATCAACACTCATTTTTTTCCATATATGTCTGAAAATTACATTAATGCAATGAAGAAAAACCAACCATAGTGCTTACTGAAATTTTTTTCTTTAAATTTGGTGTATCTTCTTTCAGCTTACTATGCAAGGGAAACAACATAGTGTTTTCCTCATTGGTTTAGTTTTTATTTGTGCGAGGTTTAATTCTTGTTGATGTCTTAATTGTCCTTTGGACCAAAAATACTTATGGTTAATGTGTTTTATTTTATTTTCTTATGCAACAATGTATCAATGAAGATGTTGAAAAGGACGATATAAATGATGAAATTCAAGAGGACGACATAAATGATAAAATTCAAGAGGACGACCTAAATGATAAAATTCAAGAGGACGGCGTAGATGACGAATTTCAAGAGGACGACATAGATCTAGATGATGAATTTCAAGAGGAGGATATAGATGGTGAATTTCAAGAGGACGACGTAGATGAAGAATTTATGGAGGATGACATATCTAACGAATTTCAAGAGGACGATCTGGATGCTTTACTCCTAGAAGACAAACTTGAATGAGTTGGATGATGTCTTTTTTTTGGCTTGTAGTTGAAAGCATTAAACTTGAAATATGATTTTTGTTCTTTTGCTGAACTATGTTTTTAGTTATTTTACTAGGGTCATACTTCAAAGTATTAAAAGTAATATTGTTACGTAAGGCATTTTGTGTACTCTATATACTATATCTTGAATTAAAGTTTGAACTCAATTTTATTATATTACAACTTTTATGGATGTATGGTTTAAGTTATATAATCAATATTATTTTTGAAGCCAATTATTATTGACTATATTATTTTGATAATAATTGCAAAATTGTATATTTTATGTGGACACTATAAAACAACAACCTATAAGCTATGGCTACACTTCAAAAACGATCTTCCTGATTCAGGTTTAAGGAAACGATTGTTAATTGTAGCCGAATTTGGCAACGCAACGCTTAAAAAACGTTGTCTCAGAGGTCGTAAATAATCGTCCCCTATTCCTTTACTATATGCGACGTTTTTCAAAAGCGTTCCCAAAAAACATAAAAAAACGTCGCCTCAAACAATAGGCAACGCTCGCACATGAGACGCCTAGAAAACGTCCCCTATTGTTTTAGGCAACGATTTTCAGAGTTCTGGCAACGTTTTTCAATTGTTGCTGGAGAGCCTAAATGTTGTAGTGCGGGGCAAATAATAATAATAATAATAATAATAATAATAATAATAATAATAATAATAATAATAATAATAATAATAATAGTAATAGTCACTCTAGTTATAAATCATTTGATTGATTGCAAGTTTTCTATAACTGGGACAAATAATAATAATAACAGTAATAGCCACTCTAGTTATAAATAACTTGACTGGTTGCCCGTTTTTTATAACTGGGGCAAATAATAATAATAGTACTAATATGATTAAAGTAATAAGTATAGAATATATACCTAGTGTAGTAAAAACTTCCGATAGAAACGATCATACTGATAACGTGTTGAGATAAGGTGAATATTTGAAACAAACTAAGAAAATATAGAGATAGAAGAGACTGTATTATTTATCTTTGAAATTTTTTAATGTCTTTACATAAACCAATGTGTGGCATATATATAGCACTTGAATTGTAAATGTAAAGTTTAAGTTACTGTGCCAAGTTGACAATATCTTGTACATAAGATAGATTCACTATTCACAAAATATTTCAAATAGTAAATATAATAATTTATTATTATTATAACAAGGGCATCATTTTTCGCATTTTTATGGTGTTCACGCACCTTTGTGTAAATGTAAAATGTTTCTCAAATACAAAAATATACTTTTGGACGCACTAAAACATCAGAAAAAATTTAGAACTGTATTTTTGGAAACTGCTGTATTTGACAAACTAAAAGTAGATCTAGAAAACTAGCATAAATTAACATCAATCATTGTTATGACATACATTAAAAAAGCAACATTACATAGATAATTGTTAATGTAAATCTAACATTACATTTCATCATTAAGTGATAATTGAGGATGTTTCAACATCTTTAGAATATCTTCCGTCAATCTCATAACATTCACATCCTCCTCGAACCGATCTTTTGTTTCATAATGATGAAAAGTAATCCACATAATAGTTAAATCTTCATCCATATTCAACTAAAACTTGTTGAACTATATCTTCCCTTCGTTATCAATCGAGGGTGAATGATAATAATGCTTCATAACTCTTCGATTGTCTGGTTAATGCAAAAAATTATCTAGTGTGGATTCTAGTTCGATAAGAAGGGTGATCTCTATGAACCTTAATTAAAGAGGGGTCTTTCACCGTTGAAGTAGATAGAAGTTAGATATGAATATTAAGACATTATGTGTGTGATTTTTCTAACAACATGAGGGGCACCCATATTTGTTAAAGTTTTAGATCAATATGGATCGTGGAAATCCAATCCTATCTTAGAGGATAATACTGAGATATACTTCCAAATTCACCATTTTTTGTTTATTAAAATCAAGGTGTATATGGAAATACAGTTTAGAAAATGGGGTGTGCCCGAAAGAACATTTTCAGATTCACCCCTAACTGTTCATATAGAAACTATTATGGAAATAAACTCTTTTATAAAACACAAAAATTTAGAAAAATTTAATATATATTAAAATGTAACAAAATGTTTGTAGTTTACATCGTTAATATCAATCCAACATTACATGCAAAAAAATGAGTCACCGCCTAAATACACTGTTAGATAAAAACTAAAATGCATTAAAACACGTGTCACTACAAAAATTTATATCTATGGGTGGTCTTTCCTTTTACTTTTTTTATATGACTCTCTTTGAACCTCACTCAAGTAGGTGAATTTTTCCTGTTGTAAAAATAATGCCAAGAACAGAGTATAACAATCTATCTTTGAAATAGGAAGCAAGAATAACACAATGAATTGGTTATAAAATGTTATTCTTTACTTTCTCTTTGAAACAAGATTACAAGTGTTTAAAATAACAAATAACCTTTATCACCGTAATTAGGATTTACAGTTGTGCAATGATGAAAGACTAGTATGATATTTATAAAGAAAACTAACACACTAAACTAACGAGTCTTTACACACAAACCCATTACAAGATAACCTATGGAACGAGATAACTTAAATAATTGGGTATAACAAAAATGTCCAATTCGATATACTAATAAACCTAGCAAATATCGATTAATGCATGTTACAACAACTTCGACTATAACACGCTCTTTTTTGGACAACAGCTTGTGAACAAGCTTCGAGCTCATGCTTAATTCTTGTCGGACCAGAAGCTAACCCTTAGACCTACTAGAGTTCGATCCAATATCTAACAAATCTCCACCTTGGAACAAACTCTATAAGATCAAGGGAATAAACTATATTTCTTCATGTAGCTTTATCAACTGCATATAATGGAAAAACTTACCACTTGCCAATGTCTAGGTGATCATATCAGTAACATTGTGATATGTCAAAACCTCCAGCATGTAGACTTCTCCACGCTCGATTAATCCTATGAAGAAATTCAACTTTACATCGATGTGCTTGGTTTGCTCATGATAGGGTGAATTCTTTGACATGTGTATTTCACTTTGACTATCACATTTAACAGTGATAACTCAACCTTGAAGTTTCAACTCCTTAGCAAATACTTTAAGCCATAATGCTTCTTTCATAGCTTTTGTCACAACAATATATTCTGCTTTACTGGTTGATA